TTTTATATAACATTTGCATTTGAAGCCCCTCAATTTGCATTTTCTCCAATCCAGGATTAAATTAGTTCCCCCCCACCCACAGTGAAATAAGTCTGCCTTTAATTTAAATTGCTATGTGAATACAATTTTCCAGGCAGGTAAACACAAAATAATTTTCACAGCATGTTCTTTCTCAGGGTCTTTGACGTGTGTATGTTGTGAGAGAAGTTGTTAATAAATTTGAATTTCAGTAGTAGTGAAAGAGAATATCCTTTTAACTATTCATTGCAAAATGCGATGCAACAGTTAGACAGATGAGAACATGATCAGAGATATAATTGTGGCCGTCAAGCCCATTCTGAGGAGACCGACTGTTTTTAGACCAGTTTATTTTTCCATAATTAAAATTGTGGCTGTGTGATTTGGAAATTAGCCCTCTGTGTCAATAGGGAAGCGATGGATTTAGCCGGCTGGTGTTGCGGCTGCTAAAGTTCCTCATAACCGCTTCCCTGAAAAAACAAAATAGATTTGAAGACCTATCCAGAGTGGTGCCAGTCATTCATAGTGAACGTCTCCAGTCTGATGAAACTCTGCTAGCTTCGATTTTCAGGAGCTTTTATTTGAAGAGGGGTTTACTGCAGGCTGCAGACCTCTTAATGAACTTGCAGCATAGTATAAAGAAAACTTCAGTGACGGTTTGTGAAAACTTTGACCAGATTGTTTTTTGTGGGGAATCTACCTACAGTCAGCTTGGGCAAAATTTTGGCTTGAATTTGGCATTTTGTCAACTCTGAACTTCAAAATTAACTTCCAAGGTATTATAAAGAGCCGGGAATTATTTTTGGACAAATAGTTTGTCAAAGAAATGGAAAATGTTTTTGCAAGAGGAAAGAGGGAGAGTGTTGAGAGGCAAAGCAAACAAAAAGAGAAAAGATTTTTTTTTAAATGGCAAAGCATTTGCTTTCATCATCCGCAGAGCGAAAAACTGAGCAGTTCTAATTTGAGTTTCTCAGAATGGAGACTGTAACTGAAAAGTTTAAAAATATGCCTACATTTTAGATGTTTCTATTAATCCAGGCATGAAATGGAACACTTTATTTTGCACAGGGCAAAGGCCAAGAGAAATAGTTAAGCCAATACAAAATTCTTCAGGTTTTCCTTTCTGCTGAAAAGACAGAAAATACAGGTTTTTATTTGCTCCTTTTTTTGTTCTGTTTTGCTATTTGGCTTCAGAATTGAAATCTCTTTACGGAGAGTGATTTTTAAGTGCTGTTATACAAAGTGAATAGGAGGTTTTGGTGGAGATGTCTTTGCCATGTAGGTTTTAGTTCTGGATCTGGAAACTGTACTCTGCTGCGCTTGGTGACAAACACCTGCTTATCACAGCCGTCAGCTTTTCCTGCTGCCCATTTCTGTGTCTCCTCATAATCCCTATCTTCACCCTTGTAGGTACTTCCCTCTAAGCCCCATTTCCCTGTGCTATTGGATACCAGTAGGTCTTCGTTGCTAGCCAGCCCCTGGATGTTTATTGCAATATGCTGTGCCCATGTACTGCCCCACTCCTTGTGCCGTCTGCTTGATTTTTCTAGTTCTTAACTACAATGCCTGTTACGGGCTGGAAGCTAAGCGGAGGCCGTACCCCTGCAGGTCTGTTCCCAGCCCTCGGGTTAGGGAACTGGTAAGGACAGTTAGTAGTGTCATTCTTTTTAGCAAATTGTGCTTTAAGATCTGTTCCTGTGGCTGCTCTCATGTGCTTATCTGTTGTTTGTTTGGGGTTTTTTTTCTCTCTTTTTGAAGTTAGGAACAAGACATATTTTGGAAACTATGGAGGCTGCAGGGCATCATATCAACACGCTGTTTCTGTGTGGTGGGCTGAGCAAGAACACTCTCTTTGTGCAGATGCACGCTGACATTACTGGTGAGTTAGAGGAAGTGGGGGGAAAGGAGTGTAAATTACTTTATTTTAGGTGACTAAATACTTTGTCTTAGGAAAAATAAATACTTTCTTTATATAGAAATGTATTTTGCTGGTTGGCCAAAAAGTGTGTAATGAAATGTTATTTCCTGCAAGACTGAATTTCCTGAAATTTGAAGACATTTGAAGAACACAGAGATGCGATGCAAACAAAGCTCCATACTTCCTATTGTTGGAAAAAAGACCTCAAGGAGAAACAGATTACAAGACATTAGTTAGATGAGAATAATGCCCACTACATTTTGTGAGCATGGTTTACATAAGATGTGTTTTACTAAAACATCTATTAGCTTCATCCTGTTTGAATTCTGTTGGACTTCTGACACTTCGTTGTGGTTTAATCCGGCTGGCAGCTAAACCAGCCACACAGCCGTTCGCTCACTGCTCCCCCCGCCCACGGTGATGGGGGAGAGAATTGAAAAGAAAAAGGTAAAACTCGTGGGTTGAGATAAAGGCAGTTTAACAGGACAGAAAAGGAAGAGAATTATAATAATAATGATGATGATACACAATGCAAGTGATGCACAGCACAATTTCTCACCAGTCGGAGCCAATGCTCAGGTAGTTCCCAAGCCGTGCTGCTGCCTGGCCAACCCCCAGTTATACGCGGAGCGTGACGCCATATGGTATGGAATATCCCTTTGGGCAGTCTGGGTCAGTGTCCTGGCCGTGTCCCCTCCCGGCTTCTTGGGCACCCCCTGCTTTCTCATTGGCAGGGCAGTGTGAGAAGCTGAAAAGTCCTTGACTGCTTGGTAACAACTGAACCATCATTGTGTTATCAACGTTATTCTCATCCTAAAACCAAAACACAGCACTAACCAGCTGTTAGGAAGAAAATTAACTCTATTCCTGCCGAAACCAGTACACACTTCCTGCTCATGCTAGGCATTGTATGCGTTATATAGAACAATTCTTTTCTAAATTGCTTCCATGTCAATATCGTTAATATGGTTTAGGGGACACTTTCTGGATCTTTACTCATGCATGGTGTTGCATTTGGTTTTGTAGAATTCCTGATGGGTGGAAGGTCCTGGGTATGTGGTTCGTGACAAGAGCAGGTCTCAGGCTTGCGTGGTATTTTTGGTCTCTCTTAGCTTGTGTGTGTTGGACATTGTGGGGTGCCAGACTGATCCAGGCTTGTTGGTGCCGAATACAGGGCCGTTATGACCCAGCAGAAGGGGCCCTGGGGGAGTCCAGCTTGGGCACCTGCAAGTCAGTTGAATATCCTTTTAAAAATGTGGGAAAAAAAACAAAATTTAGTGTAAGGGACTTCAGAGAAGCTTTGAATGATGTGTGTTTTGGGTATATTTCAAATTCAGACCAGCTGAGCTGTCATGAATAAAGTTTAAGGCTCAGATTTGGGACATTTAGTCTGGACATCTGACTTGCCCTAACATCAAACCACACTTCATAACCTTGATGCAGGAAGGAAGATGAAAATATGATTTATGTATTTACCTGAGATGAAAAAAAGAAATGGAGAAGCAAAAAGCATAATGCCTATTGACCTTAAAATTCACTAGATACATTGTGGTCAAAGTGACACTTTCTGTTTGTGAAAAATTATGTTGTCAAGTGTGTGCCTTCCCATAGATAGCTCAAATGTTTTAGATGAATTTCAGCTACGCGTAGAGTTGGTCTGCTAGTTCATGATGTGTAAAATAAAAGATCTGTGAAAAGGTATTCTGATTAAAATGTAATCAGAAGTTCTTTGACTGTAACTAATGGCCAAGTACAATTCAGTACAAAAAGACCTTTTTGCAGTCTGGAGTTCTCCCCCATTTGTAAAATCAGTGACTGACAAGGGATGTCAGAGTTCATCTAACTGAAATGCTCTCGCTTGTGTTGAACTCATTAGAGCCTATCAGATAAAATAACTAACATTCCAGGATCAATCCCCCATTCTTTCCTGAAAAGAACAAAATCTGAATATATTATTGTTAGCTGCAAATGCCCATGACTCAGCCATGCAGACATCCAATAGATAATTTTGCAGGCCACTTAAAAAGTGTCTTGATCTTTTTGTTTGCCTGGTAAGAATTCTGTATTCATTCTGATGATGCGGGAAATGTGCAGTAAATTTTAGAGCACGCTGAAAATTGCTTACTGCTTTAAACGCCTGGCAAACAGCTGTGTAGCTGTAAGCTTGAGTTTTAGACTGTCTGCATCTGTTCCGGGTTGACCCAAGTCCTGAGCTCTGGTCCATCCTAACCAGAGGAATGCTCAGGTGACTGGTCCTACTCTAATGTTTTTAAGGTGGGTTTGTTTGGTCAGAGAGACATTTAAGGGATGCTGTAATTACATTGGTTTGCTGTTAATAGTCATTCCAGCAATCAAACAGCAAGGTCTCATCGTATCCACCTTCCTCCCTGTCACTCTGCCTGTGTTAACTGTAGGAAGAAAGGGCATAAAGACCATTGTGGCACCTTTGTGTCTTGAAAGTTAATTGTAAGCAGCTTTACACTGGTGGAATAGTGCAAAGTTAGCACAATGTAACTGGATGCCTGGGGTGCAAGGTGAATTTGCTTTGTATCCATAATTGTTTCTTCTATTAATAATTATATTGCACCCTTTTCAAAATGAGAATTTGCCTTTTCCTCTGTAGGAGTTGTTCATGACTCACTTCAGATCTTCCTCCAAATTTCAGCTCCTTCTAATCTTACAGTTGCCGCTCAGGAGCTGCATTTTTGGGGGCATAGTGTCATTGAGGCTATTCACAAAAGAAGGTCCTCCTCCCACCGCTGTGTTTGCATCATCATTCATTGAATGAAATTATCTCAGCAGTGGAAATTTAGACACGTGCCAAATACTGTAGGAATATTAAATTCTTTGACTTAGTGAGGATGAATATCTAAAGTGTAGCTAGAAAAGCATTTAGACTTATGCAATTGTTTTAGGCTTTTTAAAAATTAAGAAAGAATTAAGAAAGCAGACTGATTTTTATTTGTTTATTACTCTTTTCCCTGCTGTTTTTACATTAGTAATACAGGTCTTTTAGGAAACTTTGTGAACCGAGGGAAAGTATGTTCATGACAGTACCCATGGGTGATGAAACAGTTTTTAATTCTACTTTGGAATATATATTGTTTGTTTGTTTGTTTTTCCAGTGTTTTAATCTTGTTTTCGAATGCCTTCCACAATTTGGAGGACAACATTTCTCTTATGATTTCTTACACAGCTTGTGAAAGTTTACTACTCCTATTTTCATGTCTTCCAGCAAAACCAGACTGGCTTTGTTGGCTATATATTTAAAAACAAACAAACACAAACAAACTTTTTTTGTTCATTGCAAAAGAAACAAAAAGGATACCACCCTGTTTTTTCCTTGAGGTCAACTTTTAATAGACATGTGGGTTTGGAGGGTATGGGTAACAGGTTTATACCAAGCCCTTTGAGATAAATAGCCAGTGTCAAAGATCTGGGGGTTTGTTCTTTGTATACTTGATGTTCTGCATTAATATTTTGCTGAAATTGTTTTATTTAAATTCTGGATTTTTCTTGGAGCCTGGAACCACAGAGAAGGGATATTTACATTAATCGACAGTAGGCTGTAGCTCTGAATGCAGTTGTGAACGTGGTTTTCACGTCCTTTTTTCTTTGTATTTCTTGCTTTAATTAAATTAAAGCAAAAAATACAGTGCCACTAGTGCAGTACTGCAATATTCTCCCTAACAGAGGCATGGCTTTTTCTTGTATAGGCAAGCCGGTTGTCCTGTCCAAAGAAGTGGAGTCTGTTTTGGTGGGTGCTGCTATTCTTGGAGCTTGTGCTTCTGGGGATTTTGCATCTATACAGGTATGCAGTACCTGATTTGTTTTCTCTTTCTGAGTTTTAATGCGTTTTACATTTTGACATTTGGCACTATGTGCAGACTTTAATTCAAGTGGAAAAGTTTGTGGCTTCTGCACAGCCAGACAAGAGCCAGCATTGCTTTCTCTCCACCCTCTTTTTAACTCTGTATGTTATTTAGGTGTATTGAAGATTTATTTGTCTTTTGACTTTAGGGACATACAGGTAGAAGCTGCTGTCTATGAAGTTAGGCTGTGTAATTTTACAGACACAAAAAGGGAAATTGGCAAGGCTCTTACCCTGCAAGAAGGTCACATTTTCATAGAATCCCAGACTGGTTTGGGTTGGAAGGGATCTCAAAGTCTGTGTAGTTCCAACCACCTGCCATGGGCAGGGACACCCTCCCCTAGCCCAGGTTGCCCAAAGCCCCATCCAACCTGGCCTTGAATGCTTCCAAGGATGGGCCAGCCTGGCTTTGACCCCTTCCACGGATCCAGGGCCAGCCACAGCTTCTCTGGGCAACCTGTGCCAGGGCCTCACCACCCTCACAGGGAAGAGTTTCTCCCAAATATCTAATCTAAATCTCCCCTCCTTCAGCTTAAGGCCATTGCCCCTTGTCCTGTCACTCCCTATCCTTGTAACCAGTCCCTCTCCAGCTCTCCTGTAGGCTCCTTCAGGGACTGAAAGGGGCTCTAAGGTCTCCCCGCAGCCTTCTCTTCTCCAGGCTGAACAACCCCAACTCTCTCAGCCTGTCTTCATAAGAGAGGTGCCTCAGCCCTTTCATCTCAGTTATATTTGTCCTACTTTCCTTCCTTCATATTGAGGAATGTTGAACATAGGAAACAACATAACACCATTTATGCAGTAAAAGATAACACACTATAACTCTTATCTTGCCCACAGTGAATGGGGAATTAATAATGAGGATGGAACTTCATGTTTATTCATGTTATTTCAAGCCATTAACAGTTGTAAAAGTAGCAGTAGGGCTTTCATGTTCAGTGGATCAGCCAAAGCATGACTTCGCACATTTATATAAACAACAATAGTATACAGAAACCTCAAGAAGGATCTGAATACCCTAAATCTTACCTGTTTTCCCACCTTGCAATTCCACTAGTATAAGACGTGTCCTCTCCTCGTGCTACAGAAGGACACTGAACAGTACACTGCATCTAATTGGACAAAATTATTTATCAAAATGGTCCCTTGATACACTTTTCTTTATATCATTAGGTACAGATATTTGTAGATGAAATTTTGCACAAAAATGTACCTGATTGTATTTTCTGAATAGGGGGTCAGCTTCTCAAACTAGTTAAATTGATGCAGTTCCACTGGAATCAATAAACAGCGCAACTTAAGCTGAGGAACGGGGCCATGTTTGGCATTTTTCCAATTCCAAAATTTCTGAATGTGAATATTCTACAATGCAATATTGGTTAACAGGAAAAGCAGTTTCCTTTTATAACAATTTTTCTGATAATTGCAATAAATATCTATTACAATATATACCTGTATTTAATAATTCTAGTGCTTGTAAGGAGAACTTATTTTGATAAATATTTCAGTAGCAGCTTTTGATGACAGGACTTCATATTTAATTCTTACTCTTCTGTTAATCTTCTGTCTTCAAATACAGAGATATTTCATTCCAAATTTAAGATGTTTTCCACTACTATGCAATAACTGAACTTCTCAAAACTGATTTTAAGAAGTCTGTCTTCATAACCATTAGAAAAATCTAATGCTGTGAAATGTTCTGTGATGTGTTTTTATGTAATTTTGGTATATTAATTTACCTTTAGTTTTTAACCCTGCCCTTATGTATAAAATGATTTCAGAAGCATATCCAGTAATGTCAGAACAGATACATATATTTTATCCATACAAACATATATGTCAGTCTGCATAGCACATTCCTTCAGAAATCATCTTCAGCAAAACTAGATCCTTTGAACCAGCCACATCACAGACTTTTTAATTTAAAAAGTGTTTGCTCTTTTGCTGTTACGATATGTCAGGAGGCTCCTGCCTCTTTGGCTATGGGAATGGTTTTTGGCTTGTCATAAGTACGGGTTCTGTGGGTCTTCTTGGAGCAAACTTCTCCTAAGGGCTTACCCTTGGGAGCTGGACTTGATGGCTCCTTATGCTGCTGTCCCATCTTTGCTTGAATCAAAGTTAATACCAGTACATTTAAAAAAAAGAATCAATACCAATTTCAACCCAGTGCCTCAGTAATGCATAAGAAGTCTGATTTCCCAAGCACAGCCTCTGCCTTTTCCAGTTACTCAGCAGCTGTTCGTGTAAGGTTTGGTTCCAAGGACTTTGCTAGACGGCAGGAGAGTTTCCTTTTGTTTCATTGAGTTACAGGTCAAGTCCATGGTCTTCCTTGGGATGTCTCTGAAATAGAAAAGAGGAAAGTAGTTTGGAAACTACTGCTATTATACATCCCACTCAGCATTTGTAGCATGTTTCTTTCCATCATACTGCCTGTGGTGATCACTGGGGGCCAGGTGCGGCCCTGAACCCTACCCAGGATGCCACAACGTGAAGAAACCAGGAAGTGTTTTGGCTTAGTGTGTGTTCAGAAGATTGCTGTCAAAGAGGTGCCAACTATGGCAGTATCAGTTGTATCATGCAGCAAATATTTTAGATTATGTACAAATATTTTTTTAAAGAATTCAGCTACATGAACTCAAGAAACAAGAAACTGAATAAATGTCTTTTGGGGAAGGGGAGAACGTAAATGCATATCTACCATTGCAGTTCCATAGCCTTCTCTTAGATTTATTTTTCTACCACATCTTCCAAAACAAACCTTACTTAGAGGTGTTGCTGCAAGTATTCAGGATTGATGTAGACTCTGCAAAAAATAGAAGTTATTATCTGCCTCTTATAGATGGTTTGTGCTTAATTATTGTGCTTTCCAAAACTTGTTGTTTGCTCAGCCTAATAGTAATGGAGAAAATTGTGTGGGTTTTACCCTCCTTTCCTATGCCTGTGTGTGTTTGAAGGGGAATTTTTACTGTATTCGTCCTAGTGATTTTGGTCACGTTTCTCAGAATAATTTTTGGACATTTCTACTCAATGTCAAAATCAAAATGTTTAAAAGCTATCTGGTATTCATGGGTCGGCTGTTGTCCATTTTCTAAAACTCAGGCATCTTTAGGACAGCCTGGAAATAGCACCTAAAGCCAAGATCCCTCAAAATCACTTCTGATAATCTTAGTCTGGCTTTAACAGGCTCTGCTGACAAAAGGACTGGCTGCTGAACAGATAGGTGAAACCCGCTGGGGAGAAGCGATAGCAGTAGTGCTGCCAGGCATCCGCTGGGCAATCTCGTATGGAAGTACGGGCACGTGTGCTGTGTAGTATGTGCACCAAGGAGCTGGTGAGGCTATGGAGCAGGGCTGTTCTTGTGTCTGCAGGCTAAATGTGATGCTTTGGGGATGTATGTGTTAAGTTGACCTGCTCGTGCATTCTGTCAATGTGGAGGGTTTGGGGCGTGGGGCAGCCAAGTCAGAGCCACTGCTCTGGCAGATCCTCAAAATCTACCAGGTCATCACTTTTTGATAGAGGAAAGAGAAGATGGGTCATCTAGGGAAGACCCCACTCAATGGTAACCTTGGATAGCAATTAGAGTTAGGCTTTATTCAGCTTAATGGTTAAGAAATGCATTGGATCTGGATGGTATTTCCTTAGGGCTAAAGAATGTGGATGGTGGTGGTTGCGGTTGCTCTCACGCTCCAGTACTATCCTGATGTCCTGTGGTATTCCATCACTGAGATTTGGAAATGGGGGAGTATCTGCTTCAGACACATATTGGAGGGTCATTTTTCCAAGGACAGGCAGCTTGCTTACCTACATATCGCTGTATGATGAACCCAGCCAGAAGCGTACACGAGACTACAGCACTCTCACTGTTCACTTTCTTAGGCAGTTGGTCATAGTGGCTGGAACACAAAATTTTTTTCCTCTATCCTTTGGTATCCCTAAAGAAGTTTCTTCTCACAAAGAAGCAAGTATCAACATACCTCCTGTGTCTTTTCCCTTTCTGTACTACAGCAGTGACTATTTGCAGGATACAGCATTTTGTTCTGATTCTAAATTTTCATATCTTTTTATTCATATTTTGAATGATTTGTGGAGTAAAGGTTTTCATGCTTTCTATTGACTAGATCTGTATTAGTACTGAAATTCTCCGTATGCTGAACCTTTGCAAAGAAGCATTGGAAATGAAGGTTATTGCAAAATTTGTAATCATACAGGGTAATTTGCTAGATTCTAGGGTGGGTTTAAAAGCTCAAGCCCCTTGAAGCTGCAATTTTGTCTTTAGGTAATTCTATTAAGGAAAGATTTATAACCTCCATCTCTCATGCCTGGTCACCATATGTTGTTGCTTCAAAGAATGTTGACTTCCCTATTTTCCTCTTCATTTACTCTCTCTGCATTTTTCTGCTCTGTGGTAAACTGAATTAAAACAATTGGTCTGTCCAAGAAGGAAAAAGAACATGCAGTGTGGTGAGTTACTCCCCATTTCATCTTTTGGTTATTTAGTCTCTAGAATCTCTGGAAAGGGGAGGAAATCTTACGAATTTCTTCTTGAAATTTGGGTTATCTTTTCATTTGCCCCTACAAATGCTACACCCTTTTTCTTTTAGTGGTTTTGTTATGTTTTGATTGTTGTGCTTATGAACCGTAACACAGCCTGTCTGAGTCAAAGACAACAGTGCTGTTTAAAATAGTATTACATAAGGATTTTTGAAATATACACTGTATTTTGGGGGTTTGCATTTTTGAAATATGTGCTGCATTGAATGAAATAACCTTAACATTGCTGGTTTAGATGGGTCAATTTATTGGTTCTAGCCATTCCTTTCATGCTAAGCAGCAGGATCCTGGTTTTCTGTGTGATTGTTTCTGTAGTAAAAATATAGTTTCCGGTTTAGTAAGCCAGCAATTCCTTCTCAGTAAAACTGTACAATAAATAAATGTCAAAGTTT